ACATTCGCGTAACACCTGGGTAAATGGCCTTGTGTCGAGACTATATATAGCCTCGTGTTGTACCCAGGTGAATCATTCAATTACAATTCTCTTTTCTGAGCTCGATCCTAGATCCTCACATCGCGCGTACGCCGAGAACTAGCCTAGAAACGCGTGTCGTGGCGGTGGGGAGGGGAAGGAGGACTCTTTCAGACCTAGTACCTCCAGCGCCAGTTCCACCAACTCCAGCACCCCCAAAACTAACGCTAGGGGACCCGGTCCAAAGATTGGTCGGTTCAAAACACACAACAATCGGACATCGCCCTTTCCCCTAAACCCTGGCACTTACTGAACCACACGGTTGCTTTCTTGGTCTATATTATCCTTGAGGGGAATATATTCCTTCATATTACATGGCTAGCTAGTTGCATCCCTAACCCTTGTACTCCCATGTAAACCCCTGTTGTCCTCTGGTGATCCCTACTTCATCCTTGTCAGAGGCAGGTTGGCCTTGGGGGTTATGAGCGCACTTACCCGCTACACAAACAAGCCCTTTTATCCCAGTGGTCTAGTGGCTCGGATTTTGACATGGTATCAGAACGAAGGTTTTGGGTTCGAATCCCAGTGTGTGCACTTCGAGCATCCCAGTTTGGGGGGGTGTTAGATGTCCACTGGTGATCCCCGATTGATCATAGGGAAGGGTTACATGCATGTTGGCCTGGGGGGTTATGAGCGCACTCAACCGCTACACAAACAAGCCCTTTTATGCCAAACCAATGGCTGGGATTCTGACACCAGTATCGCACGGTTATAGTAACTTTTGTCGAGTTTAAAATCCCCTTCTACTGACGTAGTCCGTACCCATTCACTTTTGATATTCTACTGCTACACACGGTGCGATCAACTTGAGCCAATCCAGTCAGCCTTTTTTCAGATAGTAACTCGTAATAACGTATCGCTACAGTAGAAGTGACTATGCGATCCCTTCAGTTACCTCGTTCCAGCGCGGAACCTCCAAGACGGTTGCGACATGCAAAGCAGTTCGCAACATCTTGGTAGGTCGGTTAAGCGCAGGCCCTACGATATGGGGATTTTTGCCCTGAAATTCCTGATTTTCATGGATTTGTTTGTATCGACCCTGATTTTCCAGTGTTCAGCTTTTTGGGGGATCAATTTAACAGCCTTTAGGGGCCAGATGACTCTGAACTTTCAGGTTTTTTTTTTAAGGGACACTGATTACACTACGTTGTAACGAAACTGACACTGAATGTGGCAGCAGTACCTCCAGCAAGAGAGGGGGAGGGTAGTGGCAATGGCAAGGAAAAGGAGGCAGATGAGGAGGAGTTGGAAGAACCAGAGGCAGGCCCCTGGAAAGGTTTGGAAGCACTCTTAGTCGAAAGGGCAGTTTGCCAAAGCTGGTCTTTTAGTAAGGGTGGGGCAGCCATGTCAGTCTTGTTGATCAGTGTTGGCTGCATTGTTACTCGTGCTCATCAGTGTGCTGTGGTCCTCGGTTAGTTGTACCATTTTTTTTAACCATCATTTAATGTTTAGGTTGACATGACGTGCAAAGTACGATAAAGTATATGACTAGAACTAGAACAACAGCAGGACCTACATATGGGATGGTCTGGCCAGGCCCGGTTCCAGTAGAATACTCCTAGCAAGGGAGCAGAGCAGCACACAAGTCAATACAGAAACTCCTGGGCAAGACGGCGCTTCTTGCTTGCATTGAACACGGCTACCACATTCACCCAGTTCAGACCATCACTGGGCAGGAGGGCTGCAGTCATCAGATCGCCCAGTTTGGTGTCGCCCAGGCAGGTCCGTTTCCACGTCTTGATACAGTTCTGGCGACTGAAGCCACGCTCGCACTCCACCATGCTGAGGGGGAGCACACCTACGGCCTGCCACAACTGCACAAGGTTCGGGTACGCTCCCATGTAGCCAGTTGACTGGAGCATGATCGAGAGCGACTTGTGGAAGGTCATGTTGCCGTGGTTGGTATCCATGGTGTGCAAAAACAACGGTAGCTCCCTCTCGCACGCCTTGAAGCACACACCTACCAGGATGGGAGAGCAGAGCAGTGAGAGGGGCAATCGGAGCGTATGGGAGGTGTTTAACAGCACACCAAGGTAACCACACACACAGATAAGACAGCACATTACAGGCACAACTAGGTGGCGTACCAAAGAGGCGGTAGTGAAACATGTGGTCTAGCATGCCCAACCACTCGCGGCACTTCTTCACCCGCTGCGCGTTGTCGTCGGGATATCACGACGGCCGGAAAATCTTGGAACCGTAGTTCTTCTTGAGGTCTTCCAGGCGGAACTCCAGTCGCGCAACGCAGACCTTCGCAAACTCCTGGCACACCGCCTTGCAGGAGTAGTAGTCCCCGCCAGTCTTATGGCCTGGGATCTTGCGCTCTTGAAGCTCGAACCCGTGCTCTGCAGCGTCGCCGTTCTGGTCCACGCCTTTGACGGTGACTTCGCGGTGCTGGGGATTGCCGTGTTTCTTCAAGAACGCACAGAGTAGGGGCGACTGATCGTTGCCGAAACAATCCTCGCAGTCCACGTAATGCACCTTGATCATCCGGCGAGCAAGTGACACCTCCCCCGCGACCACCGTAATGTCAACCTGTGAGTGGGGGTGGGATGAATAGTTGCTGCCAGAGGTTGATGTACAATGGGTCAGAACGGCGCACAACAACCGCCACTTTCAACAACCGGGAACATGGCAGTGAAACAACCGCAAACTTGTACAACCAAAACACTCTACATGTCGCCTGCTGCTTGTGGAACTTGGCGTTGAGCTCGTTGAGCACGGCAAGAATGACTTCAAGGAAGAACAGCATGAAATGGAATTTGAAAGAGGTGACCGTTTCATAGAGCGCGTGCTTGAAATCGTGTAGCAAGACGATCGTCGCCGGCAGAACCTTGGCAAACCGACTGCCTCTCCTCTAGAGAGCCATCGCATGTCGAAGCTTCCGGCTCTCCTTTGACTTCATCTCGGCGTGTGCGTCCTGGTGTGCGGTGGAGCGCAGGTGCGTCCGGATGCTCCCCTTCTGCATGTCACGCCCTCCAGTGCCTCCCTTGCCATAAGCCGTTTTCGCGCCTTCAGCTCCATGTTCCAAGCACGTGCTACATCTCAAAATGGGGAAGCCAACGTCATCACAAGTTAAAATTAGCCACGGAAACAAAGACTCCCATGATGTCTTAAATCGCTTTTGCGCTTTAGCGAAAGCGACTTCGGGGTAACGGGCCATCTCTTCGACAGTCAGCAGGCCGTCTTCATCCTCCTTGTCATCACTCCCCTTGTCCTCCACTCGTCGGATTGGACGTGCCGCCCGCTTCAAAGAGGGCTTCGGTTGTCGCCACCACTGCTTAGCACTGCCACCGCTTGACTCTTTGCACTTCTTGTTCGCAGAGTCGCCACCCGCATCGCCTATCTCCGTTTCAGGCGCCATCGCTTCTGGAGTTGAAGGTTCCGTCGTGGTAGTGCAAACTTCAGGTGAGCGCGGGTCATGCCCCGATTCATCCACGCGGGTTTCATCCTCGGTTGAAGCAACTACGGGCTCCGGATCTGACAGCTTCTTAGCGGGGGTTCGTAGAAAGCTGAGGCCCGTTCGCGGGGGTGATTTTTGGAGTTGACGACATGCCTCGTCGTCACCATCAGTGGTTTCGTCAGCAGCCATGGCGAGGGCCAGAGGGGTAGATGCAGGAGCTGGGCCTACGCTAGCTGTATGAGAGCGTGGTGGTGGGGTGGTTTCCAAACCCTAGACTAGACGAGATAGCGAGGAGGCAGAATTGAGAAATGAAACGAGGAGGACTGGGTTGGGTGCGTGGGAGAGACTGGTCCGTGGGTGGGGCCCTGCTGGGGACGGAAGAAGATGCTTCCAATCCAAGCATGACACACCTCCTGCACGAAGCAGGTGTGTGTGGCGCTGCGCGGCATTGCCAGCTGGGAAAATTGCAGGTGAGCCAAGTACAGTTTACAGGACTAGGGCAGTGGCGACGCGAGCCGTCAAAGCGACTCGCACATCTGCTGACTCAGGCAAAACGCCGCTAATCACGGCCCAAATCTCATCAGTACCCCCCCCCCCCTCCGCCGCGTCAAATCGCATCAGGGTGGTACGCGACACTAGTCTTTGTCATCAGGGCGAGTACACCAGGCCTGTCTTAAATATCAGTGTTAACCAAATGAGCACTTTTTCGGCTAAGGGTGCCTCATAAAACAACTTTTAAAAACAAGGGTGATCACCTAAACCCACCCTTATAGTAAGGGCCATATGGGTGTTTTACCCTGATATCGAGAGGCCTGACCAGAGGCTAACTGCAGTGATGATGATGAGTAAATGAACCCTCTGTTGCTGATGCTTGCTAGCTAGTTAGTGTTATCTTATTTGAAGTTCAATATCAACATCCACAAAAAGGGAACACTGATGCATCAACCTTTTTTTTAAGGTAACACTGAATTATCAAGCTTTTTTTGGGGGGAAACACTGACGACCAGGGATTCTACACAGAGGGACCCTGATGCATTAACGTGCCTACAAGTGAATAATAGGCCCTGGTTAACAGTCGCGAAAGTTGATTTGCGGTTGTAGACCTTGCGTGCTCTATATGGGCTAACACAGTAGTCGTACAGGTGTTGCTTCGCTAATGGCAGGTGCGGTAAGGTTACACCTTCTGAAATGCTAAAACACCTTTCGGTTATTCCAATATTGATGTTGCGTTTGTTAATGTAAGAAGTCAAAGACACACTATAATTATTTAGAAAGGACAAACATTCTAAATGGGTTTAACGATTTTGTGATTATATACCAAACCCCTGTTTGTTTCACGAGTGGTTCCCCAGCGCTGTGCTCATGCCCCACCACATCACCCAGCTCACCCTCTCAAAGCTTCCGTTTTTGCCACCTCGATTTGTGATCCAACCTCGTCCGTCCCATCCACACCTCCCACCTCGCACCCACCAGGCACGCACCCACCACCAGCACCTAGCACGAAGCGCGCGGCTGCGCCATGGACATGCTGCTCGTTTCGTCGCCCTTTCCGCGAGCCTCGCTCGCCCCGACATCGGCGCGCACGTCGCTGCGCTCCTCACATGCCGGCCGGCCGTTGCTAGCCGCCCCCAGGTACGGCCTCGCTGGGCGAGCGGTGCCAAGCTGCGCGACATGCACTGCGCGCCGAATGCTTCCGGGTGGGACCGCCGGCTGCGCGACGCCCCGCTTAGTCTGAACGCCGTGCGACGATTCTCGCTCGCGCTCGAGGGTTCTCCTCGTCGCACACCGCTTCTTTCAGCTTGCTACCAACTCGCGATCCGAATGCTGCTGCCGCGTCGACAGTCGACAGCAATTAGCGCTTATATCGCGAACTGGCAATGTGCGGCGATTAAAAAGCGGGCCGTTGTCGCCCGAGCTCGTTGATGCGACGATGATGGCGAGCAGGTTGCTGCGTCGCAATGCTCGTCGCAATGTAGCGATACTGGTCGCATTGCTGGTCGCACAGACGGACTCCGTGCTCCCTCCGCCTCTCGCTCACGCACCCCCCAACTTCCCCACCTTCTTTCCCCCATCTCTCCTCTTCCCACCCCACCCTCTCACCACGCCTGTCTCAGGCGTGTGTCGCTGCCTGGGGGCCCGGCCGCCAGCAGCAAAAAGGGGAGGGGCGCAGTGAGGGTAGTGGCGGAGGTGGGGGAGGCGGAAATGGAGAGGGGGAGAGCCGCCATGCGCCAGTGGTGAGTGCGGGAGGGGTGGTGGGTGCGCCACGGGTGGTGGGTGCGCCACGGGTGGTGGGTGCGCCACGGGTGGTGGGTGCGCCACGGGTGGTGGGTGCGCCACGGGTTTTGGTTGCGCCACGGGTGGTGGGTGCGCCACGGGTGGTGGGTGCGCCACGGGTGGTGGGTGCGCCACGGGTGGTGGGTGCGCCACGGGTGGTGGGTGCGCCACGGGTGGTGGGTGCGCCACGGGTTTTGGTTGCGCCACGGGTGGTGGGTGCGCCACGGGTGGTGGGTGGGTGTTGAGTTGTCGCTCTCTCACTTCCCCACATGCCTCGCTCCTCCACCGGTCATCAATCTTCCTTCACACCCGCCCTCCCGCCCTGCCACGCCTCACACCATCCGCGTGCCTCCCTCCCGCCCTCTTCGATACGCTGGCCAACCCGCCACCCCCCATCTCAACCTTTCACCATGATATCCCGCACTCCCATGCTCTCCCGCACTCCCATGCTCTCCCGCACTCCCATGCTCTCCTGCACGCCACCCTGCCAAGTGCGCTCGCAACTCTACCGTTGTTCGCCTCTCCCCAATGTTTCCCGCGCGCTCATGCTGTCTCTCCGCGCGTGGCGCAGGTGGCAGGCGCAGCAGGCGGCCAAGGCAGGGCAGCGGGGCGGCCAGGGGGCGGTGGCCGTGGCGGACGGGGAGGGGGAGGGGGCGCAGGCGAGCATGGATGCTGCGCGCGCTGAGATGAGGGCGTGGTGAGCTGAGCGCACTCATGGGGGAGGGGTGAGCGCACTCATGGGGGAGGGGTGAGCGCACACGTGGGGGAGGGGTGAGCGCACACGTGGGGGAGGGGTGAGCGCACACGTGGGGGAGGGGTGAGCGCACACGTGGGGGACGGTGGGATGGGTTGGGGGAGGGGTGAGGGGGAGCGGTGGCGGGGGTGTGATGCGTGGGTGGTGCAAATGGCAGGGAGGGGCACACGAGGTGATAGGCAGGGAGGGGCACAAGAGGTGATAGGAAGAGGAGTGCGAGAGCAGGGATGGTGAGGTGGGTGGAACGCGAGGATGAGTTGCACCCGTGACTCACTCACTCTTCACTGCAACTGACGTGCGCGTCACCATTACTTGCCGGCCCACGCACACCGAGACACCCGGCCTGCTACCGGTCCGAGCCGCCGGCCGTGGGGATGCCGGCCGTGGGGATGCCGGCCCGCAGGTGGCCCGGCGGGCGGAGTCTTTGAAGCTGGCGGTCCGTCCCGCCCTTGAGCTGGGGCGGCGCTCATTCATGCCTGCACATGCTGAGATTCTTCTTATGCTTCTCCTTCCGCATTGCCCCACACTCCACCCCATGCCCCTCCTCGGCCCGCCCTCCCGTTTGCTGTTGTTGCGCCTCTCCGTCCCCCCTCGGACACCAGGTGGGCGGCACAGCAGGCGGGCAAGGGCGAGAAGGCGGGTATGGATGCTGCCCGCGCGCAGATGAGGACGTGGTGAGTGGGGGGAAAGGGGAGAGGGGGAAGGAAAGAGGAAGGGCGGGAGGGGGGTGGGGAGAGAGGGAGGGCGGGAGGAGGAGAGAGAGGGAGGGAAGGGAGGGTGGAGGAGGGGAGCGAGGAGGTAGGGTGAAGGCAAGGGGAGCGGGAAGAATCAAGAAGTGGTGAGAGAGTGTTGCGGGAGAAGGGGAGAGGGGGGTTTGAGGAGGGAAGGGGCGAGGTGGAAGTGAGGAGCGAGTCAGCAGGGAGGGCGAGATATTTAGAGGTGCCTGTCAGCCAGCCACCGTAGATGGGTTCGCCCGCCACACCTCATCACGTCCATGCTTGTGCGCCCCTGCTTATGCGCCCCTGCTTGTGCGCCCCTGCTTATGCGCCCCTGCTTGTGCGCCCCTGCTTATGCGCCCCTGCTTATGCGCCCCTGCTTGTGCGCCCCTGCTTATGCGCCCCTGCTTATGCGCCCCTGCATGGCTACCAGGTGGATGGAGCAGCAGCAGGCCAAGGCCATGGATGCGGCGCGCGCAGCCATGCGGCAGTGGTGAGTGCAGGCATGAGGCAGTGGTGAGTGCAGGCATGAGGCAGTGGTGAGTGCAGGCATGAGGCAGTGGTGAGTGCAGGCATGAGGCAGTGGTGAGTGCAGGCATGAGGCAGTGGTGAGTGCAGGCATGAGGCAGTGGTGAGTGCACACCATCTCGGGCAATCCATTCCCCCGTCTGACCTTACGTCTCATCTCATCTCCTCCATGGGTTCCGTTTTCCACACGTGACTGACATTCAGCTTGCATTGCCTTGGCAATCATGCTTCTTCTTATCATCCCTCACTGATTTATGCGAGTTTAAACTATCGTACCTGATATGCTTCATAGTGTAACACACTAACTGCTTCGTGTGTGACAGATTATACCACGTTTGGTTCAAACTTAAAGAGTATTTGCTGGCACCAGAATCCCTTGAGGATTTTGCGTCTACTTTGGGCATGCTGTGTGTGCTTTGCGCCTTGTTCCCTCCCCCCACCCCCCATGTGCTCCAGGTGGGCGGAGCAGCAGCAAGGCAAGGCCATGGATGCAGGTCGTGCGGAGATGAGGCAATGGTGAGTGTGAGTGTGAACCACGTGGAGGGTGCTGGCTGGGTGCCCCAACTACCATCCCACTCGCCCTCGTGACATCTCTCTCATGCCACACTCGTTTGCATGTTGCCTGTCACCACTTGTGCTTCACCCATCCATTCGCAAACTTACCTTGAAGATATGATATGTGTATGCAAAGCCACTGTATACTCCCGGTGACCATATGCAAGTGCGCTTATTTACATAGTTTGCATTTTCGTTTGTCATTCTTACACTTGTGCCGGGCAATCTGTTCCACTATCCTCTGCGCGCCACTCTTCTCTTCTCCCTCTGCCACCCTCGTCTCCTTCCACTGTCCCCCTCCAGGTGGGTGCAGCAGCAGCAGGGCAAGGCCATGGATGCAGCGCGCGCAGAGATGAGGCAATGGTGAGAGCAAGGGAGGGAGGGGTGAGGTTGAGTGTGCGCAGGGCTTAGTGGGAATATACGCTCAAACCTGTTTGCGTTTAGCGTATACACGCTAGCGTGTATACGCAAAACGCTAAACGCTATCGAATACGCTATACGCTCGCCAAATTTTTTTTGGGGCAGCCCGGCCAGAAAATTTCAACCTAAACGGTTCGCTTCGGAATTGCACGACGAAGACATTGGCGGGGTCAGATGGCACGTCCGCGCTGTGTGCTAGCGTGGACGTGGGTTGAAAGTTCGTGTCGCAAATGGAAAGTCACGTTCGTCGAGTCGCGCCTGCACGTTCCCTCAATTTTGGTGTTCACTATCAGTACCGCATTCAAACCCTTTGCAACCAACACCTCTCCAATTTTTGTTGGCCATCTTCCCACTCCCACAATCAACTCGCCATAAAACAAGCACACCCCCAACATCCAACTCATTAGGTCTTCTCTCGCTACCAGCAGAGCACTAGGCATTCCCTAGCGCATGGTGCCTATGTCGACGACTACTACCTCTCCTCTAACGCCACCGTCAGTTAACACCGTTGGCAGTTCGCAAACCCCTCTATCCGAGGCACGGGAGTATCTCCTCGACGTTGACCATGCCGTCTTCAAGCACTTCCGCATCATCAAGAGGGTCGAGGGAAAAGCTCAGCAGTACGAGTGCAAATTCTGCAGCAACGTCTACACTGGTGCTGCCATCCGATGCGCGCAACACTTCACGTCGTGGAAGGGGATGAAACGCCGTGAAGTGGTGCTTTGCAAGGATGCGCCGCAAGATGTGCGCTTGGCCATGCGCGCGAAATACGAGGCAAAGCGCGCTGCGGCCGAAGAGAAGAGGCGGGCAGCAGCTGAAGCGGTTGCCGCGGTCAAGGCTAATGGTGTGAAGCGGGCGCGCATCACCGATTACCTTGAGGGGGATGCGGCTGCAAGAAAGAGAGAAGCGGACGAGGCACTTGCGCTTGCTTGGGCCGCCCTCCATATCCTCGAGCGCCACATTGACCATCCTCTGATGGTCAATGCATTGAACCTCGTCAAGCGCGCCGGCGTCGACTACGTCCCTCCCAAGAGGAAATACATCGGCGGTGCTGGCCTTCTCTCGTGTCGCAACGGAATCGAGCAGGGTTTGGTGGGCATTAAGGCGAGCTGGAAGAGGACGGGCGTGACGGTTTCGTCCGACATGATGACGGACCGCAACGGCAGGCCGCAGGCCAACGTGCTTCTCGTAAACGATTCTGGCGCCGTCTTCACCGACTGTATTGACTGCAACATGGAGAGGAAAACCAGAGGTTACGTGGCGGGGATTCTTAGGCCAGTGGTGGAGGAAGTGGGTCCAGAAAACGTTGTTGCGTTCTGCATGGACGGGGGGTCGAACTATGCGGTGGCGGTGAAGCAGCTCTTACAAGAATGGCCACACATTCAGGATGTGCCGTGCGCCACTCACGTATTGGATCTTCTCATGGAAGATGTCGGGAAGATGGGATGGGCTAAGCCGGTGGTCGACAAGGGAGGGGAGATATCTAGCTTCGTCCGCAACCACCACTGGACCCGAGGGTACCTGCGGAAGCCGGAATTGGTGGAGGGGAAGGTTCTGCAGGCGCTGAAGCCGGCTGGAACCCGATTCGGGACCAACTACATAGCCATATCCCGGCTATGTGCGATGCGCGGTAGCCTTACCAACATGGTGACGAGCGAGGGTTGGAAGGAGTGGGCGGCAGGGGACCGGAAGAAATCGTGTGACGGGTTCAGTGCGCTGATCCATGATGCCGCCTGGTGGAAGACGGCCGAGTTCTTCGTCGCACTGCTGAAGCTGCCCTTTAAGGTGATGAGGCAGACGGACGGGCATGCCGTGGGGATGATGGGGAGGCTGTACGATTTGATGATGCAGTTGACTGAGGACGTGGGGGGCTTGCTCGATGCGGACGAGGAGCAGCTGAGCGACGGGGACAAGGACAAGATCCGCCGCATCCTCAGAGACCGCTGGGACGGCAGCCTCGCATGCGCCATGCATGTCGTTGGCCGCATCCTCAACCCCGCGAATCAGGAGGAAGATATTTTCGGCACTGATCCCGAGTGCACGAAAGTCTTCAAGGCGTTCATCAGCCAGCAGGCCGAGTTCCTTGCGAGCCGCGGGGATGGGGGGGATGACGCGTGCGACATCTTGCTTGAGCTGGGGGACGGGCTGAGGGCGTTCCTTGACATGAAGGGTTCTTTTGGGATGCCGGAAGCCGTGGCACAGAGGAAGCTGGTGAAAGAGGGAAAGTATAGCATGGTGAAGTGGTGGCAGTGGAATGGGACTGATGCCCCTCGAGTGGCGGGGCTCGCGGTACGGGTGCTGTCTCAGGCCGTGTCAGCCTCACCTTGTGAGCGTGGATGGTCCTCGTGGGATGCCGTCCACACCGCACGTCGCAACAGGCTTGGATCCGCCAAGTGCAGGGACTTGGTCTATGTTGCGCACAACTGGAATGTTGTGCGCAACTGGCACACGCGCGTTGATGTCTTGCCACATGTGGTGCCCGGGATTGGAGCGGAGCCTCCAATCCCGGCGGGATACAATGGGCTGGAAGACGAGACGAAGGGAGAGGATGAGGAGGAAGGCGAAGACGACATCCTCGAAGACGAGTACACTAACTAGAGGGGGCATATGTGGCATATAGTAGTGATGATAGTGATGATAGTAGTGATGACAGTAGTTATGTGTAGGCCGTGGTATATGTGTAATGTGGAAAAAAAAAATTCTCTGAAACTTCAGGCCCCATACCCCACCCCCATATCCCCCCCCCCCCCCACGCCTTTTTTTGACCCTGCCCGGGAAGTTTTTTTTTCTGCCCGAAAAAGCGTATTTCCAAACCCGTCCCTACAGCGTATAGCGTATATAAGAGTGCGTATATACGATAAGCGTATATACGCAATAAGCGTATATTCCCACTAAGGCGCAGGGAAGCGAACCTTCACTGCCAGCGGGGGCACTCAAACCGGTTCGACCCGAACGAACACGAACTGACTCTTGATCATTTTTGCATTTGTAGTTTGGACAGTGCGGTTTAAGATTCTCACCATCGCCCTGTACCCGGGCCGGCGGCATGCTGGCAGGTGGGAGCAGCAGCAGCAGGCCAAGGTGGGGGCAGCAGCTGCAGCTGGCATGGAACAGGGCCGAGCGGAAATGAGGGCCTGGTGAGTGCAGCGCAGCGCAGGGGGTATTGCCTTGAGAGGTGAGAGAATGGGGGCTTGCCTTGAGCCCAAGTGATAAATCATGTTCAAATCTCAATTGTGAGTTTGTATTTACGTTTGCCCTCTCACCTCTCCTCTGGCATAGCCCTCAATGCCTAACCTTCCTAGATGTTAGCCCCTTGACATCCAAATTCATTGAGAGTAGTTGATGGATGTGCCGAGCGTCTAGGTGAGTAACTGATTGCAACGTGGAAGTGTGTGAAGAGAATCAGATGCGTGGCATCGCCAGAATGCTCTAGTGAATGTTTGAATTGGGCTGGGCCTCGCTTGGCACGAGTCGGGCCTAGATCAGCCACGGGCCAAATTCCTCACACGTGAGTCAGCCCCATCGCCAAGCCAAGGGGGCCGCCCAGCCCGGGGCAGGCCGGTGTCGTCCCGCCACCGGCCCTTGCCCTTGTCTCTGTAGCACACGTTACACTTAGCACAATCTGCAAAGTGAATTGGCCAAGAAAAATCACCCAGAATGAGTCAACGAATCTAACTCGAGTGTGTTGGCTTGGACAGCAGCAGCTCGTTGGGCCTTTGCAATGAAACGCAAAGGCACACATTGTTCCAAACACCCTTATTCGCGTCATTCCTCCCTGCCACCCTTGTCCCTCCAGGTGGGTGCAGCAGCAGCAGGGCAAGGCCATGGATGCAGCGCGCGCAGAGATGAGGCAATGGTGAGAGCACGTTATTTGTGAGTTGATGCTCCGCCTCCTCCTCTCCACTCTTGTTGCCAGTCAGTCATTCTGGAGTCCTTTGATGCTGCCTGCCTGCATGGACAGACTTGCTTCTTTAGTGCACGAGGCAGCACCCAAGTGGGCAGTCAATGGTCTTTCAAAAAGACTCAAAATTTCTGTTGTTCACCGCATAAGCTGTGCTGTTCACCGCATAAGCTGCGCGAGTGTGTGGATGGGACGGGGCCCAAGCGATTGTGTGGGTTGGGTTTCCATCCCATGGGGCTCGCTAACAACTGACCCGTGTTCCCTTCCTCACCACTCCGCTCCACTCACCATAAACCTTAGCAAACGTTCGTATGCTATGTCGGGCACACAGTTACCTTCAATTTGAATGCCAACTGGCAAATGGCATTCAACCCAACAAGATGTCATGCAGATTGTGGCCTCTCTGTTTCGCGGACGATTGCAGGCAGCCTGTAAAAAGGCCTGTCATTGTGTGTCACGGCATCACCAATGTCTATCTTAGGGCGTGCTCCTACGGCCGCTTATCAGGCTAACCTCTTATCTGGCTCGGGTCAAACTGCACTGAAACACTCAAAGCGAAAAGCATTGTACCAGGCAAGTCTGACAAGAGGTTTGTCCGACAAGAGGCGTAGGAACACGCCCTTATTTGGAAAATCAGTTTATGATATGTATGGATAGAATCCCACCTCCCTGAAAAATGTGAAGATCGAAGTATCGATACTTGACGTGTATGTAGGCTTCCTATTCCCGCCTAGAGTGGAGGGGGCGTGGACGTACGCATGAGCAGAAGGCAGCTCAGCCCAGGTGAATGTGGTGTGGTGGGCGCCGCCTGCCACACTCTCCACTCATGCCATGCCATGGATACACACCCTCAACCCTCTCTTCATCTACATCTTCTTTTCAAAAGTTTATGCAAATAAACACCACTCAGAATGAAGCAATTTTATTCGTTGACGACATGAAACAGAAAGGAGCACTTGTTGTAATCACCCTGATTCTCATCATTCCTCCCTGCCACTGCTTGTCCCCCAGGTGGGTGCAGCAGCAGCAGGGCAAGGCCATGGATGCAGCGCGAGCAGAGATGAGGCAATGGTGAGAGCAATGGCATGGCAGGCTCACTTTTCTCCGTGACTTCATGCTCCTCCTCCCCCTCTCTACCACTCGTGACTCATGTGCGGATGCCTTTATGCCCAAGGAGGCGGTGTATGGTCAGTAGTGCATGGAGTGGAGAGCACTCAAGGGGAGCTCTCCTCCTCCACACACTCACCTGCTTGTCTTACCAGGCAAGCCGCCACCCTGCCCCACTCAGGCGCAGTTCTGGATGGCTTGTTTTGTCGACTTGTGTCCATGAAGAAGAACATTCACATGCACGCACGCACTGGTTCGACTCGGTCCTCCTCGCTCCGTTGTGCGTCCTCTTTTCTTGGTAACGCAAATGGCCTGCCTGTGTTGGATCTGAAGCGTCCAGGGTCTAGGATGCGTGCGTCCGGTCGTGGGCCAGGCCCCCCTGTCGGACGTTCCCCGGACGCTTGTCCGGGCAGGGGTGAAAATTTTCTCTCCGGGCATGGTAGAAAATAAGGGAAGAGGAGGGGGGAGGGGGGTTTTGGGCACCAGCAAGCATGAAACACTGTTTTTCCCCTTAATCATCCATGAAATTCGCACATAAAGTCTTGTACGGTAGGATCCGCCCCGGAATTACCGGCGACATGCGTCGGATTGGAAGTCGCCATGGCTTAAGAGTGCTCTTAGACTTAGTCGGTGGATTCTAGGGATACTAAGCTAATGGATGTCGGGAGATTCTCGGGTTAGCTAATGGAGGCCGCGTAACTAAGAAACCAGAGAGTGACTACGTCCAACAAATTTGAATCTGTTGAATGCCGATTTGGTTGCGATTGGTAGATGTAGACGGGTGTAGATGTAATTTGCTGGTGTTGCATTTTTGCAACCCCAGAAACGCACGCCCTGAAGGACAATTTCGACTCAGTTTCAATCGCATAAAAAATCGTCCTTCAATTCCACGGTCGCGATTTTTCTTTTTTGGGAGGGTTGCCCAGGACCAATTCCGGCCGAATGTCCAGCGTCTAGGACGCCCCCAGCGTCCGGACGCAATCGTCCAGACGCGACCCGTGCTCTGACAGGGACATCCGATCCAACATAGTGTCCTGCTGTGCTTATCACCACTGGGGCACGTTGCATGTCACATTGCGCCTGCCGCTGAAGCTAAGTTGCAAAATACGCTCAGGACACTGTGCGTTTAGCGGATATACGCTAGCGTTTACACGCTAAACGCTAAACGCAAGGTAATACGCTATACGCTTGCCAATTTTTTTTGGGGCAGCCCGACCGAAAAAAATGTGAATATACGGAAAGATGCGGAATTGCACGACGAGCATTTTGCCACCGTCAAATTCTCGTCCGCGATTTGTGCAAGAGTGAACGGCAATTTCCGCGCTGATCGGCAATTTCCCTTCCCCGCAGATCCGCGCAGATTGAAGGTTCTTCCCGCAGAGGGGATGGGGGGAAAGACTCTCCCTATATCAACGTCTTGTAGATCTGGACTGGAAGTGACGTGACGACTGTACAAATTTCAAATATCAAATTGGTTGGATGAGATAGATGCAATGCGGTGAAGATAGGTGATGGGAGGAGGAATTGGTTTTTAAGGCAACATTGGCGATGGGTGTGGGGCACGAATTCCAGCATTGGCGATGGTTTCCCTGTCCAGGATCTCTCCTACGCCTCCTCCTACACTCTAGCAATCATGCCTTGTGATTGCGAGCCCGAAGCAGAGCAGATTCGCGCAACGTTATTGCAGTCTATAGCCTACGAACTCTGCATCTTAACCCGATTTTGTGCCGAGTCAAGGGTGGTTATCTTGGAATGGAGAAAAACTTACCTCTGAAACATAACCCCTTAGATCCCCCCCCCCTATAATAGCCCGGGCGGATTTTTTTCCCTGCCCGGGAAAGTTTTTTTCCTGCCCAAAAAAGCGTATGTCCAAATCGCTCCCTTACGCGTATAGCGTATATACGCTAGCGTATATACGATACGCGTATATACGCTATAAGCGTATTTTGCAACTTAGCGCTGAAGTTGGTGCTTGGGTTGGGTGCGTGGGTGGGTGGGTGCGTGCAGGTGGATGGCGCAGTTGGCGGCGAAACGGGCGGCGGTGGAGGATGAGTCGCGCGCCCAGCTCAACGCATGGTGGGTGCCCTGGGGGTTGCGTGGGGTGGTGTATGGTGAGGTGCATGGGGGGGTGCATGGGAGGTGCATGGGGGGTGCATGGGGGGTGCATGGGGGGTGCATGGGGGGTGCATGGGGGGTGCATGGGGGGTGCATGGGGGGTGCATGGGGGGTGCATGGGGGGTGCATGGGGGGTGCATGGGGGGTGCATGGGGGGTGCACGGGGGGGTGCATGGGGGGTGCATGGGGGGTGCATGGGGGGTGCATGGGGGGTGCATGGGGGGTGCATGGGGGGGTGCATGGGGGGTGCACGGGGGGGTGCACGGGGGGGTGCATGGGGGGTGCATGTGGGGGTGCATGGAGGGTGCCTGCCAGGGTGCCAGCATCATCCTTCACCGCTTATGTGCACCATGCACACATGCTTTGCCTTGCTGTGTGCCGCACCTATACATGAGCATTGATGCAATGTTCTAGCTCGCCTTGGTCGCAGCGCTTGTTGGGGGGCCAATAACGATTTGTTAAATCGGCAGAAAAAGTTCGGCTGAGGCAAGCCGTATACAAATGTGAAACCAGGCGAGTTTCACTCGCCCCTGAACGAGTGTTGGAAACACTTGGCCGAGTACGAGTCCAACTCGCGAGAGTTTTACTCTTGCCTCGGTCATTTGCTCATTACATGCACCACCACGCACCACCATGCAGCACCTAAAGTGTCAAGTGTGCCGTCCCTTGGCTTGCCATGTGTGTGGTGGGGGGGGCAGGGCGGTGGGCAAGTGGAGGGCGGTGCTGGGGGAGGCGGAGCAGCAGGCGGAGGAGGCGAGGCTGGAGGCCATGGAGGCCGGCAGGGCGGAGATGCGCCAGTGGTGAGTCCTGAGGGGCTGCAGGGGTGAGGGCAGCAGGGGTGGGTGCAGCAGGGGTGGGTGCAGCAGGGGTGGGTGCAGCAGGGGTGGGTGGCAGGCCATTCCTTGCTTGCATGTCTCCTGGCCGCCCCTTGAATTTTCTATTTCCCTGTGTGTTCTCCATGTCTGCATGTGGCAGGTGGACGAATCAGCTGGAGGAGAAGGCAGTGAAGCTGGCAGAGCAGGCAGCGGTAGCAGTGGAGGCGGAGGCAGCCATGTATGTGGCGGCTGCGGCTGATTTTGGTGGCGGGGAGGAGGGCGACCTGAGTGAGGACGAGCTCATCGCCTCCGATGATGAGGAGCAGATGGTACGCGTGCACCGCATGGCATGGCGTGCAGCGCATGGCATGGCATGGCGTGCAGCGCATGGCATGGCGTGCAGCGCATGGCATGGCGTGCAGCGCATGGCATGGCATGGCGTGCAGCGCATGGCATGGCGTGCAGCGCATGGCATGGCGTGCAGCGCATGGCATGGCGTGCAGCGCATGGCATGGCGTGCAGCGCATGGCATGGCGTGCAGCGCATGGCATGGCATGCAGCGCATGGCATGGCGTGCAGCGCATGGCATGGCGTGCAGCGCATGGCATGGCGTGCAGCGCATGGTAGGCGTGGAGCACATGGTATGGTGCACACTTGTTCACAGGGAAGTATCATGTGCATTGTGGTGCAACTGCTGTCATTCATCCCTTCATAGTGCTTCTTGCTCGAAAACAAGCTCTAAACGTCACTCGAACATTCGTCCAGCACTGTTTGCTCTCTCCCCTGCGCAGCTCCCTTGTGCCACTTCCTACTCCCACCAACTGTCCTTCTTCTCCCTTCCACGCCTTCCCTAGCACGTCTCCCTTTCCGTCCCTCTCTACCCGACCCCCACCTTGCTGTGCTCAACACGTCCCTTGTGTCGTGTGTATGCCCCATGTGTCCCGGGTGCGTGGGTCCGTGGCGAGCGCAGGAGGTGGCGGCGCGCATGGTGGATCTGAGCGACATGGAGCGCGCCGTCATCGAGCGCGAGATGACCCGCTACCGCGCCAGGCGCGAGGCCAAGCGCGCCTTCTGGGAGCGCGATGTGCAGCGCGCCATGGACCGCAACCGCAAGGCCATGCGTGAATGGTGAGGCACGGCCATGCGTGAATGGTGAGGCACGGCTATGCGTGAATGGTGAGGCATGCTCACCCTGGCGATGACTGTTCGTGCTCTACCCGCCGTCACTCTATGCCCCTGGCTCGGGGTCCTCAACAGTTATCTTGCCTTGCTGCCTTGCTCCCCCTCCCACCCCTTGCGCAGGTGGTTGCAGCAGTGGGGGGCGAAGCAGAGGGCCAATGGGTGGGGCGACAATCCGCCTGTGTGGCGCCTCAAGCTCACCGCAGGCAGCGCGGACACGCCAGGTGGCAGCACGGCATTGGAGGACGTGGAGGTGTCGGGCAAGGGCGTGACGCTGGGCCTGCTCCCCCAGCCGGAGGACGGCTCGCGACCCATCGAGCTGCACCTCAAGGGGGTGAGCTCTCTTGCTTTGTGGTCACCATGTGCAAATTGATTGCAATAGGTTCCATATCCTGCCATTGAGTCGACTCAGTTGATTGCAATAGGTTCCATATCCTGCCATTGAGTCGACTCAGTTGATTGCAATAGGTTCCATATCCTGCCATTGAGTCGACTCAGTTGATTGCAATAGGTTCCATATCCTGCCATTGAGTCGACTCAGTTGATTGCAATAGGTTCCATATCCTGCCATTGAGTCGACTCAGTTGATTGCAATAGGTTCCATATCTTGCCATTGAGTCGACTCAGTTGATTGCAATAGGTTCCATATCCTGCCATTGAGTCGACTCAGTTGATTGCAATAGGTTCCATATCCTGCCATTGAGTCGACTCAGTTGATTGCAATAGGTTCCATATCCTGCCATTGAGTCGACTCAGTTGATTGCAATAGGTTCCATATCCTGCCATTGAGTCGACTCAGTTGATTGCAATAGGTTCCATATCCTGCCATTGAGTCGACTCAGTTGATTGCAATAGGTTCCATATCCTGCCATTCATTGCCCTCCCACGCACCGCCCATCGACCTCCCCCCTCCGTGTGCGCATGACAGGTGTCGTTCGCGCATGCGGTGGTGTACGGCAAGGACAAGTACATGGGGTTCGGCAGCTACAAGCGCGAGTACTTCATCGCTGACATCGGCTCCACCACCGGCACCTTCCTCAACGGGTCCACCTCCTCCCCTGCCCCCCTCTCTTCCCATTATCCCACTTTGCTCCCCGCCCCCTTCTCTGCTCTGCTCTGCTCTCTTTCCTTCTCTGCTCTTCTCTCTGCCATGCTCTCTGCCATGCTCTCTCTGCCATGCTCTCTCTGCCATGCTCTCTCTGCCATGCTCTCTCTGCCGTGCTCTCTGCCATGCTCTCTCTACCATGCTCTCTCTGCCGTGCTCTCTCTGCCATGCTCTCTCTGCCATGCTCTCTCTGCCATGCTCTCTCTGCCATGCTCTCTCTGCCATGCTCTCTCTGCCATGCTCTCTCTGCCGTGCTCTCTGCCATGCTCTCTCTACCATGCTCTCTCTGCCGTGCTCTCTCTGCCATGCTCTCTCTGCCATGCTCTCTCTGCCATGCTCTCTCTGCCATGCTCTCTCTGCCATGCTCTCTCTGCCATTCTCTCTCTGCCATGCTCTTTCTGCATTGGCCGCTGCCCTGCTCTTGTGTGGTGCGACGGTGGCGCACACACATGTGCATCGGTGTGCGCATGCCCCCACAGCATGCACAGGCAATGCTTTTGTCAATGCCACCACGTCTGCCACCTGCTGCCTCTCCCCCTGTGCTGCTGTCCCCTTGTCTTGGCTCGACGCCTGTCCCACTGTCCCCCCGTTTTCCCGTGTACCTCTGCGCCGTTATCTCCCTCCCTGGAGCGCAGCAAGCTGCTGGGGGTGAATGTGCCGCGCAAGCTGGCCAGTGGTGATGTCATCAAGCTGGGCCCTGAGGTGAGCTGTTGTGTGCTTGTCACCACTACTGCACCACACCACCATCACGCACGGCTGACATGGGGCAGAGGATTGCCAGTCATTTCAGCTCGTTGTTGCAACACATGTCACTCCGTGCACCCTAGCATGCCATCTCTTCCACGCTTCGCCATGCACACCACCTCCCTCGCCTTGCCTCCCATCCCTCCCCGGTCCTCACCACCCTCAGGTTGAGTTCGTGGTGACTGACCCCTCTCTCTCGCCCTGACCTCGCCTCCCATGCGCTGCCATGCCGGGCCGAGGGCTCACCAAGTGACATGAAGAGGGTGTGACGTGGTTGTGCCTCTACAATGATCCGTTGCTCACTTGACGGATATCACTGCTGTGCCTCGTGTCTCGTGTTTGTTCGTCCTTTGTGCAACTGGTTATTTATCAAAGCATGTAGCTATTGCACCTACGGTAATGATCAAATTGATTAGTTGTGAATAGGGTGTGTGCTCCAGGGGGTATAAACAGCTTGAACTTAAACTACGGTAAGGACACTGGCATAAAAGCACATGCATTCAACACATGAACACTTGTGAGTCACATCACCTGGAGCATGCATCACGGTGTAATCTACCACACTCCCTCCATGGTGTTATCCACCACTCGCTCCATAGTGTTATCCACCACTCCCTCCATGGTGTTATCCACCACTCCCTCCATGGTGTTATCCACCACTCCCTCCATGGTGTTATCCACCACTCCCTCCATGGCGCGGCCGCTGCACACCAAGATGGAGACAGCTACTCGGGGTCTCTCACATGAGGAGCCATGCCGCCCTCACATCACATCACACACCACTTGCATCAAGTGCCACCGAGTGCCAGGGGCTGTCGACAACTCGCACGGCACAGCCTCGCGTGATTTGTGTCGCGCTGCGGATGCCTGCCGTCATGCGGTGCTTTGCACGCATGCATTCGCACCTGCGCGCACAGGGAGGGGAATGAAGCCAAGTCAGACGTGCTAGAGCGGGAGACACACGCCAGGGAGGCACAGCACCAGCAGCGCGGGTGTGAGTGTGAGCGTGCAATGTCGGAGGAGCGCGCCCACACGACAGGGCGCCCTCCCCCCATAGCACGCTCGCCGTCGCTTTCCGCCCTGTTAGGACCCTCGGATGGAAGGCGCTGCGCGCAGCTGATGCCAATCCGACGGTCTTCGTAGAGCGATGCGCGCCTCTTGCATTCTCTCGCAAGCATAGATCGCACAAATGCTTCGAGATGTGAGGGACGAGCCGCGCACCCGATGTGTTGCGAGCCGCGCTGAGAGCCGCGAGGCTACGAGGAACGACACGCGCCTGCCATCAGTCGATGCCCCGCACCCGTGCCGCTCCGGGTGTCGCAGCCATGCTCACTGCGAAGCACGCGCATATTGGGGGGAGAGGGGGAGGGGAGAGGAGGGAAAGGAAGAGCAGGACGGGAGGGGGAAGACGGAAAGGACGAGACCAGGTTAGAGGGCGGTGGGGAGAAGCGTAGAGACAGGGCCAGCAGCACGAAAGACAGGCGAGACGAGCAATCGCGAGTGAATGTGCGGCGGTGCGGAGAGCGCGCGCGGCGAGAGACACGCGCGCACTCGAAGGAGCACCGGTGGCGGGATGCGAGGCCCGCGGAGGTCGCTGTGCGCTCTCATGGAACCGACGGTCACAGCGCCCCCGCCGCTCCACGGCGAGGGCGAGCCGGCGGTTCTTGGGAGAGCGCGTCGAGGAGCGAAAAGGAAATCGCGGATCGAGTAGCGCGGAACGCGGGAAGCTGACAACACAATTGTAAGCGGCAAGGCGAAAGGTAGGAACGGACCGATATGTTGGCGCGAGGGAGTGCGATCACTCAAGGCATACTCCGCGGCAGCATTAGGGACGCGAGGCACGGACGTGAAGCGGAGAGCAACTGGAGAGTGAGAGATGAGATGGGTGGAGCTCCTCCCCCACGCAACCCAGAACCTCGTCGTTGAGAAGACCTAGCTTCTGAACGCGAGGCACGCTCGAGAGTCGCCGTTGTGCAAGCTGGTTTTGAGCAGTGTGGAGCGGTTGAGCCCCGTCCCGAACCAACTGAGACCAAGCCGGGGCGTTCTGCAAAACTGTACCTCAGGGATTCCAAAAATCCAATACTGCTAATCAGGGTTTCTAAAAGCAAAAATAAGCCCTGCTATCCCTTCTTTACTTTTCCAATGTACCCTTCAAGGAGATCAAGTTCCACACTGCTTTGCTTGATGGTACCTCTCATCTTCTCAACACCTCTACAACACTAATATTCGGTTAGGAACATGAGCTCTGCAGGTGCAAACGCAACACTGCATATCAACAAGAGTGACGAAGCAACTCTGCCCTATATTTTCCTACTTCACTCCATATGGCACCTTGGCACGAGCCGTATAAAACATGTTCGCATTCCAGTGCTCACAGGCGCTCTGGATGCAAAAACGCAGCTGACCTACAAATGAAATGTGGCCCACAGCAGAGCAAGTGCCAGTGGAAGCAACGGCGCCTGGGTGCATAAAATACCCTCTACAGATGACAGACGCGTGGGGATACAAAGAGGATGGACATGATAAGCCGATGCAGCAGCCGAGGAGCCAGAGCGCTACGACACGGCTGCCACCTTCACATCTGCGCCCACACCTGGCCGCGCCACACCGCCCTCCAAACCCACATGCTGCGACTCTCCCCCTCCCCCACTCCCTCCCCCACTGCCCCCCGACGGCCGTCGCCTGTGCGCACTGCTCCCCCCGCTGCCCCCAGCACTGCCGCTGCCGCCTCGCGAGGGTGATACACCCACCACGCTGCGCTTGGGCCGAGCAGCCCCCCGCGGCGACCCCTCCCGCATGGGCGACCACCGCCGCCGCGGACTGCCCTCCGCCGCCGCCCCTCGCATGCCGCCTGCACTGCTGCCGCTGCCGCTGCCACTGCCCGGGCGCCTGGGGCTGGCGCGGCGCGGGCTGAACTCCACAGCGAACGTGGACACGGGCCGCCCCCGCGGACTCACCTCCACCGCCGCACCACGCCCCCCGCTGCTGCTGCTGCTGCGCACCACTGCACGGTCCTCCCCTCCCCCTCCTCCTCCTCCACCCCCACCCGTGCGCTCAAGGCTGCTGGCACTGGCGACGGCGTTGAGCGAGTGGCTGTGGCCCTCCCCGCGCGTGGCGGCCAGCGCAGCAGCGATGCCGGGAGGCAGCTCGCCCTTGGCGCCCATGAGCATCCACGTCTTCTGATCCACCCCCCTCTTCTCCGCCTGCCCCGCTCCCCCCGCCTTGCGTGTCGACATGCGCATCGGCCCACTGCTGCCCCCCCCGTGCCCGCCGCTGCTGCTTGGCCGCTGCTGCTCCCGCTCCCTCCCCTTCTCCCTGCCCCTATCCCCGTCCCCACCACTCCCCACCAGCCCGCCCGGCAGGACGCCAGACATGGACGCCGATGCAAACAGCGCCTCTATCTCACGCCGATGCCTCTCGTCCATCGAGCTGTTTCGCGATTTACTCTCGGATTTACCGGGCAGATGTGACAACTCCCCTGACCGGGTCTTGTGCAGGCGGGCCTTGGTGGTGCTGCTGTTGAGAGCAGCGCCCTAGAGACACAGCACAGGGGGGACGCGGAGGGTCAGTGGGCCAAGGGCAAGGGGGTGAGGGGCGAACACAGGCCGTGGCAGGGGCGAGCACAGAGGGCAAGGCGGGTGGTAAGGCGGCAGAGCACACGCACCCAGCATGACAGGCAGCACGTGCAGGAGCAGCAGAGCACGTGCAGCGAATGCACAGCATAGAATGCACCAGGCGCAGCGCAACATGCTCAAGTAGACAAGTTAAAGGGTGGGAGGGCAGAGCGCGTGAGGAGGTAAGAGATGCGACACATACACGAGAGCCATGCTCGCTGCTGGGCCGGTGCTGCTGCTGGGCTGCCTGCTGCTGCGAGTGCAGCTGCTGCACCATCTGGTTGTGCATGGGGTGGAATCTCAAATCCGACGACCGTGACTCCCGCTTCTCCCGCTCCCGCTCCCTCTCCCGCTCCCGCTTCTCCCTCTCCTCCTTCTCCCGCTCGCGCTCCCTCTCGCGCTCTCGCACTTTGCGCAGAGCAGCATCTCTCGACTCGGTGAGGTCACGCGATGACCCCGTGGAGAAGTCCTTGGACGCGCCCGTGCCCGCCGCACTGCCACCGCCTACACCCGCCACGCCAGCAGCAGCCGCCACCCCGGCCGCCGACAGCTCATGGCTCGTGGGGTTCACACCCCCCTTGCTCCTGCCCGCACTGCCCGTCCGCACCAGCCCCCCCTGCTTGCTCTCCCCAATCCCCACCTCCCCACTCACGTTCCTTCCCCCCACCCCCGCCCCTGCCGCCCCCCCTGTGGCGCCAGCAGCAGTGCCTGCGGACGAGAAGGACGGCCCCTGCACCCACGACGTCGTGGCGGACAAGCCCTTGCCGCCCGGCGCCGCCCCCCAGAGCTTGTCGGTGGCGTCGGCGGGTTTGAGCGCCTTGAGCCCGTCGGGCGTGTCCACGGCCTTGGCGGCGCCCATGGCGTGCGGGCCCAGCCCCTGCAGGCCCGCCGCCAGCGCCATCTCCGCCGGACTGATGAACTTCTCACTCTTGCTCTTCGCTATCGCCGCCTTGCCCACCGCCGCCTTCTGTTGGGGGGGGGGGGGAGGGAAGGCGGGGAAGAGGGGAGGGAATGAGGAAAGGAGGGCGTGAGCATGGAATGGGGAGAATTGAGTTGGCAGGTGGTGAGGGAGTGGGCGTGGAAGAGGTGGGCGACGGGCGCACAGGGGGTGCTGTATCCACCCCTTGGCAGCAGTGATGGCACGGCAGTGAGCCACGCACCTGCATGTTGATGGACTCCACCAGCTCCGCGTTGGCGTGGGGCGCCGGCACCGCCCGGCTGGAGCGCTGCAGGCTCTGCTGCTGCAGCTGCGGCTGCTGCTGCGACGTGCTGCTGCGCTGCGCGCCCTGCCCCGCCGCCGCCTGCTTGCTGCTCGCGCTGCTGTCTAGCACCTTGCCCGCCCTCGCCCCTGCCGCCCTCTGCCTGCCACAGACGACGGACCAGGGAGCAGCAGCGGCGCACAGGGGAGGGAATGCAGACAGGGCGGGATGCACGGTGACAGAGGTTGAGGGGCGGTGCACGCACCAGGGTTGTTGCACGGTGAGAGCAAGTGGGAGTAAGAGGGCGACAGGCAGCACAGCACAACGGCACAGCAGTGGCACGGCCCGCACAGGGACGCAGCTTGAGTGAAGGGCGAGGATGAGAGGGCGCAAGGAGGTGCATTGAGGGCCGAGCACGGGCGTGAAGTGGCGAGCAAGCACGGGGCGGCGAGGGGCAGCGGGGAGCGGGGAAGGGGGGGAAGAGGAAGGGCGGGGAGGGGCGGGTTGGGGCGGGGAGGGGCAGGGAGGGATGACCTGCGGGCCTCTTCGTCGCGCAGCTTGGCGTCGTACTCCTTGCTGGGCGGGTACTGCGGTAGACTCGCTGGGTCGCATGGCAATGGCTTCGTCGTGAAGAACTGCCAGGCATAAGGGAGAGGGGGACGGGGGGGGGGGAGGGGAGGGGGAAGGGATGGGTGATGGGGAACGGCAAGAGTATGAGGGAGAATGGCGGCACGTGAGGGGTTTGCGAAGGGGTGGAGGGAAAAGGGGAATGACGCAGGCAGCAACGATTTCTGAAGCGTCATGACCTGCCGTCCCCTACCGCCCCTTGTTTCACCTCGTGCGCGCCTCACTTCAAGCGCCCCTCTTCTCACCTCGTGCGCGAGCGCGGAGGTGGCGGAGCCGCGGTCGGCGGGTTCGATGGAGAGCAGGACGTCGAGCAGGTTGAGCGCCGTGGCGGGGAAGTCCTTGAACAGGTCCCGCAACGCGCGCTTGTACGGCTGGGTGGGCTTGAAGATGGTGGCGTGCGGCAGCTTGGAGCGCCGCCAGTACTCCTCGCTGGGCGACCCGCACAGCTTGAATATCTTGTGCAGCTGCTCCACCTGCGCGCGCGCCATGGGGCGCAGGGGGGGGCGGGGGGCAATGGGGGAGGGAGAACGGGGATGAAGGGGGGGAGGAGGGGGTGTGAACGGTGGACGGGTGGAAGAAAGGTTGGAGGGGGAAGGGGTGAGTGAGGAGCGAGTGGGGGATGGAGGCAGACGAAGGCCAAGACACCTGCGCGCGGCTCACCTGCACGCGACTCACCCGGGCAGGCGCACGTGCGCGCGGATCACGTGCGCGCGGCTTACCTCGGTGCGGCCGGGCATGATGGGTTTGCCGGCGAGCAGCTCGGCGAGGATGCAGCCGCTGCTCCACAGGTCGACGCCCACGCCGTACGTGGTGGCGCCCAGCAGCAACTCGGGCGGCCGGTACCACAGCGTCACCACGCGGCTGGTCAGCGGCACGTTCTGCTCGGGGCGGTAGAACGTGGCGAGCCCGAAGTCGGCGATCTTGAGGCTGCCCGTGTTGTCGAGCAGCAGGTTGCTGCCCTTGATGTCGCGGTGCAGCACGCCGTGCGTGTGGCAGTGCTCCAACCCCGCCACCAGCTGCTGCATGTAACACTTCACCTGCCAGCACGCGAGGAAGAGGGGGAGGGGACACGAAAGGGAGGGGGAGGTGGGGCGCGCGAAGGGGGGAGCAAGGGAAGGATGGTCGCCGAAGCCACGCAGAGACAAGCACGGAACCGCACGCGGAAGCGGCAGCAAGACAAGCAGCACGGCGACGAGGTAAGGGCAGGGCGGCGGACCTGCGCCTCGGTGAAGGAGATGCCGGGGCAGGCGGCGAGCCCGGCGAGGTCGTGCTCCATGTACTCGAAGACGAGGTACAGGCTGCAGCTCATGCGCGACGTCACCAGCCCCTCCAGCCGAATCACGTTCGGGTGGTCCAGGCGCCGCAGCACCTCGATCTCGCGCGCCATGAACCGCACGCTCTCCGGCTCCAGGTTGTCGAACCGCACCTTCTTCAGCGCTACCAACCGCCCGCTCTCCAGGTCGCGCGCCTTGTACACGTTGCTGTACGTCCCCTGCCCTATCTGCGCGCCGCCACGCGTAGGGGGTGTGGAAAGGGGGGGAGGAAGGTTCAGGGTGATTGGGTTGGGAATGGTGCGAGTGCGACGAGGTCAGCAAGAGCGCGTAAGGCACAAGCAAGAGTATGGACGGCCACAAAGCCCCGCATCGGCGCTTGTGAATGCGGCAGCCGATCCAATCACTTCATAATTAGTTACCCACGACGTCGTAGAATCAGGCGGCACTGTGCGACAGCCTGGCGGTGTGCGGCACTGTGCGACAGCCTGACAGTGTGCGACATATTGCCGCCCGCAACGCCTCCCGCAACTCTAAATTCGAGCGGAGCCGAGCAGGTTGCATAACAGCGGTGGCTACGCGAGCATCGCAAAACAAAGGCCAAACAGAGCAGGCGCGCAGATCAGGATGAGCGTCTAGAGCACGCAACGCGACGCGCGAGCGAGAGAGTGTCCATCCCTCTCACTAGCGACCCACGATTCGCTCCCTTCCGTCCCACTCGCTGCTCGTGCTTTCGTTCATGACATATAGCTCTCGTTCCCGTCCCTTCTTTCCGTTCAATAACGTTGTAAAGCAGCCGCTCTTTCCCCTTCCATTGCATTCCACCAACCGCACACTCCCATCCCCACGTACTCCCTTCCCAGCGCACTCGCCGCACGCGGATCCCGACCGCGCCCGTTAGCGTCCGCGCGCGGCTCACCTTGTCGAGTTTCTCGAAGGAGTCGGCGCGGCGCGGCACCCAGCCCTTGATGGCCTCGCTGGCGACGGACGCGAGCCACGACGGCCATCCCGCCGCCACCTGCTCCGCCTCCAGGCTCTTGTGCACCTGCCGCGGCACCGACGCCACCGCCGCCGGCACTACCGCATCTCCCACCCGCTCTCGATCCCGCTCGCGCTCTCGCTCCTTCTCCTTCTCCTTCTCCTTTTCCCGCTCCTTCCGTCTCTCCCGCTCCGCTCCCTCCTCCCCCGCCCCCAGTTGCCCGCTCTGCCGCGAGCTGCCCTTCCCCGCGGCTTGAGCTGCGGTTACCGCCGCTGGCGCAGCTGCTACTGTTGGCGGAGCCCCTGATTTGGCGGGAGGCGGGGGATCCTTTATGGAAGGGGGCTCGGGTGCCACGGGGACGGCGGCGGGAGGCGGAGTGGCGGCTGGCGGTCTTTGCTGCTGCTGTGGGGGAGGGGGAGGCTTCTCTGCTGCAGGCTTGTGAGGCGGAGACTCGTCGAGCGCACTGGGATGGGAACACGCGCACCCCATGACGAGCCCGCAAGTAACCCAGCCCAGAGTTCGTGGGCCTAGGAGCAGTGCGGGTGGCGCACCAGCCCTGGCTACCCTCGCTAGCTACCGTTGGAATCGTCGACAAATGACGACCACAGTTACGGTGTCCCCGAATTGAGGAAATGGGAGGACTGTTAACCAAAGAGTTTTGAACAAAGCTGCCTAGAGTTGTAGGCTACACTTGAAGAAATGTCGTCTTAACGTTCTTAAAGTATTAACAAAGAGAAGCAACGCGAGGGCTTACAGGGAGAGTGACTACCGCCCTGCATCCACGGTACTGCGTGTAAGAACATCTGTAACAGTAAGTGCCGCCAGTTAAGGCACGCGAATACAACTGTGTTGAATGGTGCGTAACACGTCCGTCACAGGCGTGAGGACTCCTACGTACCGAGCAGATCGAGGACGAACTCTGGACGCGAACCTGTTATGCCAGACTCCTACTAAGTCATTATGCTCCTAATTTATAATAATGCGATAAAAGCGTCGTGCGAATCGGGACGTCCGCCAATGACGACCTAAATGATTAGGCAGCGGAGAAGGGAGGCAGTTGGTGATGGTTATGAGGGTTAGCATTAGCAGGCGGGTTGGGTTAGTGCGGTCGCAGCAGGAATGATGATGATGGGGTGTTGTTGGGATGCTGGGGGGTAATGCTGCTGGCAGGGCTAGGTAGGGAGCAAGCGGAAGGAAGACGGGAAGGTGAGGCAGTCGAATGGGCGGAGGTGATTGGGGATGTGTGCCAATGAAATTTGGGGGAGGGAGGGGAGGCGGGAAGAATGGGACCAGGAATGGTGGAGGGGATGGCGGAGGATCGCTTAGTCCCGTGAAAGTGGAAGCGCTGCGCGCAGGTGGCTGGTGGACACACGTTTATCCTACTCGCATGCGCACAAACGAGGGAGGGGGAGAACACGCGGAAACAAATCCTCAGAAACCAGTTGTAACTTGTTACACAGCTTGCGGCAAAGCCAGGGACGGAAAGGCGGAACAAGTCACTGTTTGGGAAGCGAGCGAGCCGCTGGTGTTGGAGAAAGCAGGGATGTGCGGCTGCGAAAGCGGAACGACAAGCAGAGCGAAGAACTTGACGACACTTTCCGAGCCTCTCAGGCTCGAGGCGAAGCACGACAACGAACCACGAACAACAAAGCTCGCCGTCCGGCGCGGGGAGCGAAAGAATGAAGAAGGGAACCTGCTCGTGCGCAAATAATTTAAATAGAGTTCGTACAATACACTACATCGCATATGAATGGAAACTTCACTTTTGTTTCTCGTGAGTACAACCCCCAACTCTTGGGAGTACATGTTGTTGATATAACCAAGGAATCAATGGATAGGATAAGACTGTTGGGCTGAGAAAAGGCCCTTAGGATCTTTGCAGGACTAAACTCTGAGAAGGAACGATATAATAGCGGAAGCGTTTAATGATAAGTCTGTGAACTACCTTGCGCTGGTATGTGAGGGCAAAGTAAATTGATTAAATCAATGAGATACAAGCTTTTATAAGAGTACAAGGGAATATGAAAGGTTATAGCTAATAATTGTTTTACTATTGATGTTGCGGTTCGATACAGTGCAGGGCTGATTTTATCATGGTAATTACCCTGATTTCAGGGTAATTTCAGACTTGTCACTTTCTGGACCCTGAGAAATCAGGTTTTTCACATTTTGGTCCCTGATCCATTCAGAATATTGCTTTAGCGGACCCTGAAATTTTGTGTACACTCTCAGCGTAGGGTTTCCACGGACCCTGTCAATACAGAGTACGAGGCCTGTGGACCCTGAATGCGATGTTATCGGGACGAAGATCGGGCAAATCTATTGTCAGAATCCCAGTCACTAGACCATTGGGATAGAAGGGCTTGTTAAGTAGCGGGTCAGAGTGCGCCCATAACCCCCCAGGCAAACGCGCCTGTAACCCCCCGTAGGATCAATCGGGCATCCACAGTGCAGATCTACTGACACCCCCCCACACTGGGAGGCCCAGGACTGAGCACAGCGGCAACGGCCTACATGTGCATACACCGGGATTCGAACCCGAGACCGCTCTGATACCATGTCAGAATCCCAGTCACTAGACCATTGGGATAGAAGGGCTTGTTAAGTAGCGGGTCAGAGTGCGCCCATAACCCCCCAGGCAAACGCGCCTGTAACCCCCCGTAGGATCAATCGGGCATCCACAGTGCAGATCTACTGACATCTATAATGTCAGATATTAGGTTGCTGTTATTGGTAGAACTAGTTGTGCTCTGTCACAGCGCCAGTCACATCGCGAGTCACATCGCCACAGTGCCAGTCACATCGCCATAGTGACAGTCACATCGCCACAATGCCAGTCACATTGCCAGTCACATCGCAAGTCACAGCGCGCCAGTCACAGCGCCAGTCACAGTCACCCTTGCGACACCAACAACAGATTCGACCTCTGCTCCGTACAGAAATTCCTTTTGCGCTAGGTCAAGGCAGATTCTGCCTGAAATCCCGGTAGACTATCAGATTTCGAGCAGATGTTGCGATTAGGGTAAAGAATGAGACTTCTGAGTGAGACTTCTGTCCCCGGTAAAGAAAGATCGCGTTACTAAGACCCTGATTTTCAATTATCGACCCTGAACATTCAGAGTTCACTACTTCTCAACCCTGAGCAATTAGGGTGCTGTTTTTCTGGAAAATGTGCCTTCTGGGTTTTTTTTTTTTTTTTTTTTTTTTTTTTTTGGTTGAACTCAGGGTACCTAAATTTGAAACGTCAGCCCTGATACAGTGACGACTCGGGTAACTGCTCAATAACGAGTCAGTTGTTTGTCCTTACTGTCGCGCTGTACTTGTCAGGTCCAAGGTCGCTGACCTTTGACTTTCGCGTAACCTCCAGCAGTTGTTCAACCTCCGAGGGTTGACTCGCCGATGTTTCACTGTACTTCGCTTCGTTTACGACTTAGTGTTTCGACACGACAGATACGCTAAAATCACTTGTTTCCAACACTCCCCTTCGCTTCTGGAGTGTCGCTGCTGGTGACGTGGCTCTGTCCAGTCAGCAGCATGCAGTACTCAAACTTCTGCTTTCCGAGCTTCTTGGTCAAATAGTCAGCTGCCATCTTGGATGTGGGGCAGTAGGACAGTTCGAGTCTGCCTTTCTCAATCTCGTCCTTTACGAAGAAATATCGCAGGGCGATGTGCTTCGTCCTGTTCGCGAATCCATCTTTGTTGGCTATACGAATTGCTGTTTGGTTGTCGTAGAATAATGCGAAGTTGGGTAACTGAGCCAGCTTCGCTTCCTCCAGGAGTTCGCCAAGGTATAGTCCTTCCTTGGTGGCTGAGCAGAGTGCGATATATTCTGCTTCAGCTGATGAGAGGGCGATTAACTCCTGCTTGCTCGACTGCCACGAGATGGGTCCGATAGGTTCGAAGCAATAGATGTAGCCGGTGCGCGAGCGTCTGTTCTCGGAGTCGCCGGCGTGATCGGCGTCGACGTAGCCGATTAACTTAGTTGTCGAGGTCTCGTTCTTATGATAGGTCAGGTTGATCGTCGGAGTGCTAACGAGATAGTGAAGAGCGCGGTCGAGCTCCGCCAAATGTTCTGCTTCGGGCCTTTTGAGGTAGGTGGCGAGTTGACTCGCAGAGTACGATAGATCCGGACGGCAGGTGACGGCCGCGAAGAGGAGGCATCCCAGCTTTCTTTGGTAGTCGCGTATGCCGGCGGGCTTGAGCGGGGTGGATCCTTCCTTGTGATTTCCTGCGGTGTAGTAGTATGGCCTGGAGATGGAGATCGGGGTGAGTTCGAAGCGGTTGGCGATAGTGTCGGCGTATTCCGCGGCCCTAAGGTAGATCGCGTCTTCTTCTTCTGGAATATTGAGGCCGAGATACTGTGTGACGGTGGACGAGACTGAGAAAACTAAAACGAGAATGAATGAACTATGAATGAAGTGGGTACAAGTACTAACCCTAATTGGGTTGTACCCCTTATAGGATACCCCACTACAGCCTACACAAAAGCATAAGCTATAATGTTCTGACACACCCCCATAGGCAAAGTGGGGGAGAACAGGGGGTCACAAGACCAGTCAAGCAAAGCAAAACAAAGCAAAGCTCAGGGTGGATCACAAAGTCACCACACATTCCGAGCACAAGTACAAGGCCACAAGGCCAGTTCACATGAGGGAGTACATATATATATAAGGCTAGACAAGCAAGAGCAGGTATATATATATGTAACAGTACTAGCAAGGTCAAGAGGTGAGCAAGTGAGGCAAGAAAGGGACAAGACCCAACTGAGTGCAGAAGCGCTGATGATCACAAGGCGGAAGTGCCTTGGTGAAAACATCAGCAGTGTTGGCCTCAAAGGCCACGTACGCAAGCCGCAACTGTCCACGCTGCTGTAGTTCACGAGCAAGGAAGTCGCAGAGAGCAATGTGCTTTGTTCTTTGCTCCAGTCGCTGCTCACGACACAAGGACAGCATGGCCTTGTTGTCTACGTACAGCACTGGAGGAGAACGAGGCGGCTCTCCGAGGTCAGTCAGCAGGTAGGTGAGCCAGCGAAGCTCCTGTGCAGCCATGGCCCCAGCGTAGATCTCAGCCTCACAACTGGAGCCAAGAACAGAAGACGAACGAGTAGCCCGCCACGAGACAGAGCCGGAACCAAGGCTGAAGGTGTAACCCTGTGACGATCGCTCCGTAGCCTGGTCGTCAGCCTAAGAAGCATCTGCGTGCCCAGTGAGGACCACTGGACTCTGCCCTCCAAGCACTAGCCCCATGCCCAACGTACTGCACAAGTAGCGCAACACGCTCTTCGCTGCAACCATGTGCTCTGGTCGGTGTCTCCCAGGAGAAACATAGCGTGTGAGAATGCTAAGAGGGTATGCAAGGTCAGGTCGTCTGCAGGTCATCAGGTACATGAGACAGCCAACAAGCTCTGGATACGGGCCACTCGACTCTACGGACTCATCCCAAGGCAGAGCTGAGAGCGAGTGGCGAGTAGACAAAGGAGTGGCCTGAGG